CGTGACGTTGACTTTGCTAGGACCTGTGCAATAGTTGATACCGTCCAAGGCACCCTTCCAATCGCCCGCCGCCTCACCAAAGTCCTCAGGGTAAAAGCCCTGGTCGTTCAACGCCTCTAAGAATGGTATCGCATCACTGTAAGAGATTGGCAGGGCAGGAATAGAAGGGATTGCATGTTTCGGATCTCGTCGTTTCGTGTCTTCGCCCGGTAAGCTTGGGTAGCCCGGCGTGGTAGGGTCACCAACCGAGACGGAGAAGAAATCGACGCTACCGCGCTGAATGCTTTTCGGATGTCTTGCCGGACCATGTGGATACGCTTTATATCCGTTCTTGACTGTGTATTCCCCGTCTTCTTGAGGGTCACTGTATATAATAACCCCGATTGCGCCGAATTTCTCCGCTGCCCGGACTTTCAAACCCCTGAAGACTTTACTATACTTGCAGATGACGATATTTCCTTCGACGGAGATGCCTTTCGACTCGAGCAGCTGAAAATCCGACAGAGTGCCGAAGTTCGCATAGACGAGCTTCGCGCTCACTGTACCGTGCGCGCCAAATCCGAAGAAGGCCGGTAGCCCGTTCTGCGGAGCCGACGTCGGGTCTTCGGCTACCTCATCCTCAATCAGGCTTGCATTAAAGGCGACCGAACCATCTTCGCAATGTAGGCTTAGGGCTGAATATCTTGGAAAGTTCTGCAGCACGTCGTACCGGACAAGCTCGGTGGGGATGCCGTAGGATCGCCACAAATCTCGGATGCGTTCCGCGTGCTGTAGGTCACCGGCGAGATGTGGTTTCGCACTGTATAACTTAGAACAGGAACGAAGTCTCTCAACCTCGGGGGCTTCGACGATAAATCTCTCAGCATCTTCCTGGCTCAAGGCCCGCATTGTTTCTCCTTGATATTTAATGAGTCGCTGGCTTTGTTAGAATTTGAAATATCTGTTTGTCTTGCCTATGAAAGGCACAGTTCATTTTTATCTAGTTTTATTACTCCGCGGGGTTAATCCCCTGAAGGAGATACCCGCCCCCCTAGCCCCTTACCCACAGATATCCACTATTACTCGCATGAACATCCGAATACAATCCAAATAATCGGGAATATCAACAGCTTCATCTGGGCGGGTATTATACTTCCCCCCTGGCCCGCATACAATTCCTTCCATACCAAGAGACTTGTAGAGATGTCCGGCGTCGGATCCATAGAAACATGTCGGGGCCAAAACTCCTGTAGGCTGCTCCTCGCCTCTAATTGCGACATAGGCGTCGTTTAGGGACTTGACTAGCTTGGACTCCCGCGACACTTCAAAGGCCGGCATTGTAGGTTCAAACCTCTGCTTTAGCTCGAACGCCATGCCTGGAAAGTCTTCCAAGCACTTCTCGATAACCACCCGGATATCCTCCATAACGCCTTCTTGGGTCTGGCCGGGTGCGTATCGCGCGCTACCAGAAAGCTTACATATATCAGCCACTTGAGCAGGCCGCCATTCCGCGAGTTCTTTCCCGAGCGCGCCGTGCACGATACCAACCTGGCACCGATTGCACTTCGCGTGCTCCTTACTGCGGGCGCCCCGGAACTTCATGCTATTAAGCTCAGGAATTAACCGACAGGCCGCCATTATGGCATCTTGTGCCTCTTCTCGCGCAGACATGTGGCGCGTGATACCTTTCAGCGTGATTTCAAACGTCAATGCCTCAGCATGCATCGTTACTGCCTTGATATCGGACGGTTCGCAGTTGATGAAATAGTCCGCCTTAATTCTCCCCTGTTCAATCAAGGCCAGCGTGCCTACACCTCCTTGGAGTTCTCCCACCACATACGTCAGAATCACGTCCGCGCGGGGCGTCCAGCCCGCTGCGATCAGCGTTTTGGCGGCACAGAAGTAGGCGGCGCAGCCGGACTTCATATTACTGACGCCGATACCATAAATGAAGTTCTCGTCAATCTTCCCCTCCCAGGGGTCTATCGTCCACCCCTCGGAGACGGGATTTGTGTCTAAATGGCCATTGAAAAGAAGTGTTTTAGGGGTCTTCGACGTCTGAGCGGATGATCCCCTCCCTCTCCAGATGCCCAATGCGTTTTGTCTCCTTCCACTATCAAATGGAATCAGTTCAGATTCAATGCCGATTTTCCACATTTCTTTCTCCATGAATCCTGTCGCCTCCAATTCGCCCTCTGTTTGGGAGTAGCTCTTAATCTGGACAAGCCTGGATAAGAATGCCAGACATTCGTCTTTGTTGATCTCCGGTATCTGCATCTTGATTGATCTATTGAATCACAGTCAATAGTCGTCTTGTTGTTGCTGCGTGGGTAACTGCCGGCATTAGAGAAGCTTGTTTGCACCTTCACTGTTACTCACTAATTGGTCGCTGTTAGCTACACCCTGTCGCACCTTCTAGGTACTACCTAAGCCTAACACCCAACGTTTCAGCCAATCAGATCGCCAATCCCAGCCACGGCGAAGACCACCGAAAGTCTTTCCCGAAAAGGAAATTTTGTCGGGTCGAGCCGAATTTAAGGAGATCTCCGGTCCCTAAAAGACCAGATGAGTTACCCGAACCGATTATCAACGGAATTGCATCCTCGAGCAAGGCCCCTCTATGACGATTGATAAGACATTTATTATTTGATAAATATGTACCTACCTAGGTACTTTTACCTTGCTGGCCGTAGAAAGTCAAGGGGGTGAAAGATAAACAGTAGAGATATGACTATGATATTCGGCTGTCGGTGCCGACGATGTGTTGGTCTATATTTTAATAAAGACGTTCCCCTCATAGCCTTGTTAAGGCTGTGATCGTTCGCGTTAATTCCTAAGGTTTAGATTATATTTACCCGGAATCCAAGCATCTCGCGCCTCACATGTCAAGAGTTATGGGTGGAAGCGACAGCATCGAGGTCGCCGCGGCTCCTCGCGATAGCACCGTCGATGTGGAGGTAGCGATGAAAGGGGAGGTTGCTGATGAAGGTATTGAACTGTTTGACGAAGCCGGTCCTCAGGCCATCTCCCAGGAAGCAAAAGATGCAGTCAGGAGAAAGATAGATCTACACCTTCTCCCCTTGATGTGCGCTTTGTATGGACTCAATTACGTCGACAAGGTCGCCCTGGGTTGGGCTGTCCTCTTCAACTTCCGTCAGGATCTTGGATTGGTTGGGACAGAGTATTCGTGGGCTAGTTCAATGTTCTACTTCGGCTACTTAATTGCGCAATACCCTGCCAATTATATCCTTCAAAGATGTAGGACGGCAAGAGTTCTGAGCATATCCGTCATAAGCTGGGGGGTTTTGATGATCGCGTAAGTCCTGTACACATACCGAGTCCGGTCAAGTATGAAAACTAACTCGGAAGTAGACATCTTGGATTGCGCAATTTTGCCGGTCTGATGGTCATTCGTTTCCTCCTTGGCGTTGCCGAAAGCGTTGTTACTCCCGGTTTCGTGCTTTACACATCTATGTTCTACACTAGGCGCGAGCAGGTAATGAGGACTATGTTATGGGCAGCGATGCAGGGAGCCTTCTCTATCATCTCTAGTCTGCTATCATACGGGCTGGGCCATATCACGAACACGGTGCTCAAGCCATGGATGTACATCTTCTTGGTCCTCGGTCTTCTCAGTCTGCTCGTTGGCTTTGCCTGGCTATTCTTGATGCCCGAGACGCCGAATAAAGCCAAGTTCCTCACACACGAAGAACAGATCATCGCTGTCCAGAGAGTTGCGGAGAACATGATGGGAATCAAGGGGTATCAATGGAAGAATTACCAGATATGGCACGCGATCAAGGATGTCAAGACCTGGCTTCTTCTTGCATTTGTCCTTTTTATCCAATTGCCAAATGGCGGACTGACAAGTTTCGGCTCTCTGGTAATATCTGGGTTTGGGTTCGATTCGTTCAGAACGTTGCTAATAGGCCTCCCGTCATCCGTTGTCAGTGCTGGAAGCATGGTCGTTTGGGGTTTCTTCTCGATTAAATACGGCAATCTGCGAACTCTGGGAATGATAATCCCACTTTTACCTGCAATTGCGGGCATTGCTGCAGTCTATGGCACGATAGGCACCGGTGCCAATAAATATGGTAGAGTTGTGGCCTACTGGCTGATCAACTCCTATGCTGTCACGGTTCGTTTTTATCTCCTATTTGAATTCCCAAGATGTTTAATCAGTGCTAACTCAAACCCACAGTGGCCGTTCTGCCTCACAATTGTCGGCCAGAATATTGCGGGCCACACTAAGCGGGCATTCACGAATACGCTTCTCTTCATCGTATTCGCGGCCGGAAACATCGCGGGGCCGTTCTTCTTCCGCGAACAGGATGCTCCGAGGTACGTGCTAGCCATCACGACTATTCTGGTATTCTTTTGCGCTGCGTTACTCTGTGCCATCGCTCTTCGCTACTATATGGCTATGCAGAACAGGATAAGAGACCGTCAATTCGGAGCGCTTGAGACAACCCAGGAGAAGCTAGACGGCATGAGGCTAGGCATGCATGACAAGACCGATCTTGAAAACCCGGACTTCCGATATGTTTTATGATTTACTTGAATAGTAATATACTAGAATAATAATTTATCGGGGCAACTTTTCCTACTGCATCAGAATATTACAGGAGCCAGGGGCGTCAACACCAACTGCGCCTCTAGAGACGGTGCGCTACGCACTCTATCTTCCTTCTCTTAGTCGTCGTTTGACGACAGAATGTATCAACAAATTCGCTTCAAAGTTACTAATAAATTAGAACCCAATGCCAACTTACTTATTCTTATTTCAATTGCGCGTTAAATTGAAAGCGCCCGATTACAGTTATCACTTTTATCGTCTTTTTTTCTGTTATCGTTGTCGTTGTTGTCATTACCGTCGTTCTCCATGTTTTCAGCGTCTCCTATGAGACTTGATTATGTAATAACCCACCCCGGTCGCACCTTCGATTTCACAACCGAAAAAGACATAAATCAAAGCAAGAACTATCAAAAGACCTAAAAATAAAGATTAAAAAGGTTCGCAATGCCCCCACCCCGGATTGAACGAGGGACCTCCCCATTTCGCAAATTAGTAACATATTCCACCTAGAATGTCATCACGGTACGAGTGGGTTACTCTACCACTGAGCTATAGGGGCTGCTATAGGCTGACCACTTTTTCCTAGAAGCAATAAATGTGTCTGGTGGGAATATGTGGAGTAAGCTAGCATATGATTGGTTGCACTTGTTGATGGTGGCGTGCATCTAGTTACCCCTATTTATTGGTAAGTGTTTTCATTTAACTTTTCGAAAAATTTAGAATTCAAACACTTCATCCAAATATGCCGTTTATAGGTATATTCCATTTAGCGATTTAAGTCGGTTGATTCGTATGTAGGTATAATGGTTGTTCAAACAATTGTAATTGTCGTCTCAGAACCCAGATTCGCAAAGCAACCGGGCCTCTCCTGCCACATGAGCGCAGGTTCATCGACATACCGCTGTATTCCGGAATCTCTTTGCTCTCTTACCAGCCCAATCCTCTTGTAATTTTCTTGGCCTAGTTTGGTGAGTACCAATGCGTAGTCAACTTCTTCGACCTCGCACTGAATCTCGTCCAATCTTTGAACCCTTGCTATCGGCATTAACAACACATCCCAGTGCCCACCTTGCTCGTCGCCTTGGTAGTCCTCCGGATAGTCAAGATCAACAGTTCCGGACACCATCGGGTCGTTGAAGTATTTAATAGCGGCGTGGAGCGTTGCATCTCCTTCCATCGGTAGTGAAACTTTGCTCACTTTTGAGACTCCGTTGTAAGACAGGGTGGTGTTTAGAGTTGCTTGGATTACTCGCCCGGTGATTTTAAGAAAACCGCCAGCAATCTTCCCTGTTATGTCAGATGTGGCTAGATCGCACTCGGCTTCGAAGAATTTCGGAAACGTTGCGACCCAGTTTGCCTTTGGCCGTGGAACCTCATAACCAGTAGATACCAATGGTCCGAAAGGGAAATGGACTGGACCACCAAGAGAAACCCAAGACCACGAGGGGGCGATCCATTCGATAATCCTATTCGACGGATAATGCGCCTTTTCCGTATACTGGTTTCTGACCCAGAGAAGGTCTACGGCCAACGAGTCTTCCCAGAGACCAGCGAGGTATTTCGCATCAGGACGTTTTCTTGCCATTTGCTTTGCCAGTCCTGATAAAGATGGCAGCTTGTCCGAATTGTACGTTATACTCAATTTGGAAAACCACTCAACCATATCATGCCATCTAATCGCCAACCCAGTACCGGACAATGTTTCTAGAAGTGTATGATGATGTTCCTTACTGGAGGTTGGCATATTGCCACATTCGCACGTGGATCCGTCTTTGCACTCCCAGAGGATCTCGGATCGAGTCAAGTGCAGAACGCGTGGGGATAGAAGCCTCTCTTGAAAGACCCAAGCGCGACTCAAAAGTGGCCAATCTCTTAACATGATCTCGGGTGGCGTGTCGATATCTGGATGTCCGAGCTTATCAACCGCCATTACACGGTACGGCTTTCCGGCAGCGCTCTCGCCAGTGATATCTGCCATCTTCCGCGGCTGTGTGTCGAAGAGATCGAAAGAACAATTCGGGGAAGATGTTGCAGCAATTGTTAGGTAACCGTTCTCGTATATATCGCACATGTCTGCAGACTCACGAGCCCAGTCATCTTTGTCGTCCTGGATGATGCACAAGGAGTCGATCCAGATGTAACGAATACCGAGTCTACGAGCAAAGTCGATGGCGATTTGATAGGTCCTCGGTATCTCTTGAAGCGGTAGTGATGCATAGTGTGCGTCCAGTGTCTGACTTGTTGTCTGGATTGGCAGATGCCCACCCCAACAATGGCTCAAGCAGATGTACCGACCCTTAAGACCCTTAGTAGGAAGTAATTTTATGCCATCGAGGCCGCGTTCCCCAACGTCAACCACGCGCGTTGGTAAGGATGGGGTGCTATCATCTGATAAACACGAATGCTTCAAATCGCATTGTTGTATGAATTGCAGGGCTCTTTCGAAGAATCTTTCGGAACCAATTGGCGTGATGCTATAAAGGGGCGACTTTGGAAATATACCCCAAGGACAGGTAATACCTAACGAAAAAAGAAAGCCAGTATGTCAGCCTCTCCATCTGGAAAATTAGGGTTTTGGGTGAATTACCGTCTGGGGTAAAGAAGTAAAGGTCACATTTCCAGTCTGGTAGTTTGTACAGGCCGGGGCCTTTAGGAGGCTTGACGCCTCTAGAGCCCACGCGAAAGAAGTAATCGACAGCCAATGTCAGTCGGAAGAACCAGCTATCTATATCAGGGGAGTCCACAATCTCATCCAGGCCTTGATATATGATTCTGCAAATGTCACAAGGAGAAGTCCTCATTGCAGATACCTTGGTCCGCATAGGAATATCCATATTGTGTCCGCTCTGTCCCCTTATTGAATCAACATAGTTCACAATCCTCATGCACTGGGAACAGAGACCCTCGGCCTCCATTTCAATCTCCTTGTTACTCGAAGCATCGGATCCCTGGGGACTAACAGCGCGAGCGTAAATAGAGCCTTCTTCTCCAGGGCTATCTGGGTATTCTATGGGGCTGTCTAGCAGGTCTTCTCCCTCACTAAGGGAGTTATTTTCCTGCTGGCTAGCCAACCAGTCCTCAAAGGATATGTCAGGTGCAGTCCGCTTATGCATTTTGTAGGATATATGCTGATGGTTCAAAAAAGAATAAGAAAAGCAGCGCAGAAGAGCGCCAGAACAAGTGCAGATGGTGTAGAATAAGAAGAAAGGTTTTTTTTTTCTTAAGTTCGAAAGTCAGTTCTGAAACTGAACATAGGAAAGCTGAACTTAGCCCCTCTATTACATGCCTGCCCAAGTCGCTCCCATAGGGGGTAGGGTTGCGGCGCAGTTTCCATCCAGCATCGGCTTGGGGTCGATTTAAGCTCACGGCGCCGAGCTACGTCCTCCATGTAAATTGCTGGGCGTACCTTCTTAAATTAATTTAACATACCCAGTATAGCGGTATTCGTTGTATTACTTCCAAATGTCAAATATCAGGTACAAAGGAATAAGGAGGCTTCTAGGTGAAGTGATTGACCACACAGTTGATCCACCAAGGAATCAAAACAGTGTTTCAGGCGGCCTGCGGCGAAATAAAGCAACTAAGCAGAAATCAGAACTCGTAAGCATGTTTGACGCCGGGCAGTTTCCTCGGACAGCGCCCCGTAAATTTACCAAGCAAGCTTCGTGTGCGAAGGAACTAGGGGAAGATAGTCCGAAGCTGAGGTAAGCCGTCGCTGAGACCATATTTCGTTGGAGTAGCGGGATAGGATACCCAGGGGAAGGATCTTCACCCCTGGTTAGCTTGGCTGAACGTGTGAACCGTATAATCCTACCTAAGAATACGTACGTAACAGTAGAGTTAGATCTGGGACTCTATTAATTGGACCTTGAAAATCATTCCAATTTTGGCCTGGGACCCACCACCCAAAACACCGCCAAAATGTAGCTGCGCATCTCGTGCCAGTTACCAGAATCGGTTAGCGCTACGAGGTACGTACCCTCGATATAGCTTCACATATCTGGGTAGACAGACATTCAGCAGTAGATCTAAGGAGATTTCGTACATAAATACCAAGTATCCTCGAGCCTATTTCTCCAGATGTCAACCATAAAGCAATACCAAAGTCCTCAGCCACCCAATCTCATAAACACTTAAAACCGCGTCGCCATCTCCCCTGAACAACTCTACAACTCAACATCTTCGAACTTTATCAAACATATCCATTTACCACCATTCCATCGCGATTATTTGTCGTAATATTAAACAGAAAAACATTCAACCTTACCACATTATCCATCATGAGTCCCAACACCTCTCTCCTATCCAGCGGCCCTCGCATGGTCGTCACAACCCACAGCGAGGACGGAAAATCCGTGTTCCACTCCGACCGGGTGCTCGAGACCTTCTCCCCATTCGGGCCAGGCACCAGCTCCTTCACGGTATTCGACGCGCGCTCCTCCGTGCCCGTGAACAACATGGAGGAGCCCAAAGACCTGCAGAAGACGCTGCCCCGCGTGTCCCCCTCGGGCGTCATTTTCTGCATCACGAACATGGCGCCCAACAGGATCGCACCTATGCACCGCACCGTCAGCCTCGACTACGCCGTCGTGCTGTCCGGCGAGATCGTCCTCACCCTGGACAGCGGCGAGGAGAAGACCATCAAGGCGGGCGAGTTTATCGTCCAGCAGGGCGTCAACCACAGTTGGCACAACCGGACGAACGAGGTGTGCCGCATCGCGGTCGTCATGGTGGGGTCGGAAAAGGTTAAGTTGGCGAACGGGGAGGAGTTGGGGGAGACTGTTTTCAAGAGATAGATGATGTGTTGTACTTTCGAGTTAGTAGATAGATAAGTCGTTTAGAGGTCCAATTTATATGATGCTCTGAGATCCAAGGTGCGACTTCATTCCCGTGTATTCACGAATCCGTTCAAAGACTATTTGAGCACTCCGTTTTTGCTCTAGTGTTGTTGCGAATTGTGCCCCTTTGATGATCTTGATAGGCCAGAGAAGTAGGTATCCCCCTATGCCCCGACATCGTGGAGGGCCAGTCTTGGGATCATGCAGACGACCTAAATTGTTAATGTCGCCAAAGGTCTGAGGCACAGTTGCAAGGACTTCATCGGCGAGTAGGTGTATTGTTCTGGTGAACTGCTCAATGAGGATACGAAAGCTCTCTCTTGTTAGGTCATTCAAATCGGAGGATTTCGTAGCAGTCTCTAGGCAATTCAATAACTGCTGATGGCTAATAAGCCGTGCCACACGATGGTAGTTCCACTCATATGCCATCCAAATATCTGCGTGAAGTTGAACAGTACTAGTCAGAGGTCGTACCAAAGGATCGAATGTAGGTAAGTCGGACACATCCAGCGTCTTGTAGGACCATTCAGGCTTTTGACGCCAGCTAACCACTTCCTGATCTAACTCAATCAACTCGTGAACCATCTCGAGGACTTCGAATGTTGACGAGTTTCCACTAGCCAATGCCTCCTGCAACTTTCTTCCTCGCTCACACGTCTGGCTAATCCGAAGGGCGTCCTTTTCCAGACGGACAGAAGGCACGTCATCATCTAATTGGTCA